TTGACATGCAGGTGGAAGGGAAAATCTTATTGGCGGTGGCAAGAGACCACTACTGCAGTTTCAGACAGCCCTATCCTAAGTTCAGGCTTAGCGGACCTGAGATTTGAGGTAAGGTCAGTTGGTCAACAGGCATTTTGATTAAAATATTTCAGAGCTTCCAAGATATATTCAAGAATATAAAATAATCTTGTGTCCGTCCCTTTTCTAACTTACGCATAAGCAGATACTGTAGTGTAAAAAAATTACCTTGTCACATTGTTTAAATGAAACTGGATTGTTTTCGGTATCCATCTACATGGTTAAACAAACGCGTTCTTGCTTACGCTTATAAGCCTTCGGTGTAGCAGTGGGAAATACGGCCACACAAGTTTGTAACTGCGTTCTGTGACAAAATAACTTCAGAAATTGGCAACAAATAATTTTCCAGTCTGAATTCGTTTCTTATTTCTGGGAAACAAAGCGACTCCTTAGACTTGCTTTTACGGGATTTTCACTAAGTCAAGATCATATTTCTATATATATTCTAAAAGATGCTTAGAAATTTTCTGGCGTATATTGATGTCCTTTTTGAGCACAATACAGAGAAAGATTTTTTTGTTCTTTCATACTAAATAACATAGGAAATTTCTTGGATATCCAGCAACCTACGACTTTGCCCAATTTCTGCCTGTTTTTCTTTAATAAACACGATTGAACACGCGTTTTTCTTGACTTAGGGGCCTTCTGAGCATCAAATCCGCTAATCGGCTCAAAATAACTAGACTGATTATACAGGAAACTACCAGCTGGAAGTTTGGTAACGATTTTGCATGAGTTAGGTGACCTACTAAATCTACCCAGTTGGTGGCTTTCTGAGCTACGATCTTTAGCACCTCAGATCGATTCGTAATAGTAAATGCTCTGTTCTGCGGTGCGGATAAATTACCCCGAACTATTCTCACTGTCTCTCTCACTCTTTCCCCTCTCATAAGCGAGTTGGAGTTCCAGAATTCAATTAGCTGGAGGTTTGCCATGCAGGCTGAGAGAGCCATCGGTTTGGTACTAGCGAAGTCGAAGGAGGGAATGACTTATCTCGAGAATGCAGGTAGCGATATGCGAGAGTTGCTAATAGTACCGCGTTCATATTTGTCCTAATCTGTGCGTTGCCTGATATTTGTTCATTTATTGCCAGTTTACTGGTAATGTCAAAAGTGATATACAGTAGAGCATCGAGCTGGCAGTGAAAAAAACTCCTGATCAGTCTTTTTAGTGTTTTTCAGGAGAAAAAACTACAGCTCGTTGAATGATTTAAATTCGGCCGTGCTTGGACATAAGCAGAATGTGCGATCCATTCCATGAACTGGGAAAGATTTCGCTTTCAAGAGGAAGATTTAGTATCTTACACAGAAGGGACGGAAAACTATAATTTGCATCAGCCTTTGCAATGCTGACCGGGGAGGCCAGCAGATCCAGGACTATGAGACTAACGTAAACGTCAAATGGCTACGGTCACGAGGCAGAGGGTAAAGGTTATAGTTCCAATTTGGCTTCTATCAGTCTTTCAGTCATTGCCTCATGATCTTCCACACGCCTTATGGTTTGATTTTTGTTAAACTTGTCTGTCAGGCCCGTTCTTTAGACGCCGGGAAGTACAATTTTCAAATATGACGTTTTTCGGACATGAAGGAAATGTGCATCCCGTAGACTTGCCACAAGGGTGCTCACCTTCCGTTCACTCGCCTTACCAACAGTCGCCAACGTGCTGTTCATTTGTTTGTTTCGTCCTCGTTTTAAACAGGAATCAATGAAAGGCTACGTCTACCTGCCCTTCCTTGTTGTTGTCATGGTTTGTTGGGTCTTCTTCTTCCTGTTCATGCCGGAGACGAAGAACCGCACTTTTGACGAGGTTGCCAGAGATCTGGCCTTTGGCACCATCGTCGTGGGCCGGCGTACAGCTGCTCTCCAGACTACCGTGTTTACTAAGGAGTCCGAGGAACCGACCCCGGCAATTCGCCTGCTGGAGGGCGTTGAAAGTGAAAAAGTTACTTAAAATACTTTTACTTGTCTGAGCTTTCGGGCTCTT